AGACCATCCATGAATACTGTAGACTATATTTAAGATTAAAGAATGATCCAAACCACTTCTGAGTATCCCTTGCCTATGAAAGTCCTATGAGATTAATGAGGTTGCTCTAAGACAACAAACAATTTGACGGTACACACAGGCATCACTGTCTTCTTCTCCATTGTAAATCGAGATGTTCTTCATAGGGATTAGTATCCAGGTTTTATCTGTGCAGGAAAGTCCAAGTGATCCTTACTTTGCATTCCCAGATAGCTTGGGTAACTCATTTAACTGTGGAAGAAAATGGCTTTCAGGAACCAAAGTAAAGGAAGAGCTTGGGATGCCACTCAGAATCCGTTTCTTCACAGCTTTGGGCACTACAAGAGTCTCCTTGCCAACCGCCGGCTCTGTCCTACTTGCTGGTCGGCTCTCCCCCTCCACCGGCCATTTCCTCGTCCACCGCCTCTCTTTGCTTTCTGTCTGCTCAGATCCTTTTGTCTCCCACATGGCTATACATCATCCATCATTGCCTAACAGAGCAATACTGTTGACTGTGCAGCTTGTACCCACTAATTACTCGAGGCGGAGATGGTTAAAGGACTTTAAAGGAATCCGGGCTTGGATAATGGAAAATAATAGGATGATGGATCATCAGCTCTCTGTTGGTTGCATGTCTGTATTTGAATGTCGGAGGCGGTGTGTATGGACTGATATATTTTTAAAGGAGCGAGTGATGGGAAAGACCTATTTTTGCCTGAAATGCTAGATACACATTGCTTCCAGATTCCACCCAATTTCTATTTGAACTGACACAAAGTGGCAGCATTAAAAAAAATAGTCAGACCACCATAAGGAAATCCTTAATCTGGGTTGTTGTAGGTTTTTTCAGGCTATATGGCCATGTTCTGGAGGCATTCTCTCCTGATGTTTCGCCTGCATCTATGGCAAGCATCCTCAGAGGTAGTGAGGTCTGTTGGAACTAGGAAAATGGGTTTATATATCTGTGGAATGACCAGGGTGGGGCAAAGAACTCTTGTCTGTTGGAGCTAGGTGTGAATGTTTCAACTGACCACCTTGATTAGCATTTGATGGTCTGGCAGTTGTTTGGTGTGGCTTGTTAGTGCCTGAGGCAATCTTTTGTTGAGAGGTGATTAGATGTCACTGATTGTTTCCTCTCTGTTGTTTTGCTGTTTTAGAGTTTTTTAATACTGGTAGCCACATCCAACGGTGTGTATTATCCAATGAAGTCTGCCTCCTGCCTGGATCCACAGCTGTTTCAATACATTGTGATGTTCATAAATACAGTGTTCATAAATACAGTAATTACATTACCATGTAGTGAACTGTTTTTTTCTGTCTATTTGTTGTAAAACATGATGTTTGTGAAATTAAGGCTTTCCGTTAATTCCTCCTTATTATCCAAGATTTTCTCGTATCCAACGTTCTGCCGGCCTGTTTATGTTGGATAACCGAGACTCTACTGTATGTGTAAAGTATGTGCAGGAGGGAATACTTGTGACCCCTTACTGCTAGAGTTGGAAGTAGCAGACCTAATTGAATAAAATAGGCTGAGATCACATTCACTGGTATATGGCTAAATTAGCAATGTGACCACACTTAGGCTAGTGGATGGATAGTACTATTTCATGGGCAGTTACAATAGGTGTGGTTGTGCACTCTCTGCTTGCACAACTACCTGATCGGTTCTCCAGGTAATAGTAAGAACTGCATTTACAGAAACGCCTAGGCAAAGCTAAGTTTTCCTGGGTGTTGTAGGGATTGCACACCCTAAATAGACCTGTGCTCCTGGCCAGCCTCTAAGACAGCGTTTCTCAACCAGGGGGTCGGGACCCCTGGGGGGTTGTGAGGGGGTGTCAGAGGGATTGCCAAAGACCATCAGAAAACACAGTATTTTCTGTTGGTCATAGGGGTTCTGTGTGGGAAGTTTGGCCCAATTCTATTGTTGGTGGGGTTCAGAATGTGCCTTGATTGTAGATGAACTATAAATCCCAGCAACTACAACTCCCAAATGTCAAGGTCTATTTTCCCCAAACTCCACCAGTGTTCACTTTTGGCCATATTGAGTATTCATGCCAAGTTTGGTCCAGATTTATCATTGCTTGAGGCCACAGCTCTCTGAATGTAGGTGAACTACAACTCCAAAACTCAAGGTCAGTGCCCACCAAAGCCTTCCAGTATTTTGTGTTGGTCACGGGAGTTCTTTGTCCCAAGTTTGGTTCAATTCCATCGTTGGTGGACTTCAGAATGCTCTTTGATTGTGGGTGAACTATAAATCCCAGTAACTACAACTCCCAAATGACAAAATCAACCCCCAACCCCACCAGGATTCAAATTTGGGCGTATGGGGTATTTGTACCAAATTTATTTATTTATTTAAAACTCTTATATTCCGCCCTTCTCACCCCGAAGGGGACTTCGAGCGGAGCACAACATATACATGGCAAACATTCAATGCCTGGGTACAATACATAAACATTAAAAAACATTTATCTAAATATTAAAATACACCATTTAAAATAACACAATTTAAAACCGTCCTAGCCATCCGCATCAAATCCAATTGGCCCTGTCATCTTTTCCATTGTCGCTTCATTGCCCTGTCCCGAAAGCTTGGTCCCACAGCCAAGTTTTTACCATCCTTCTAAATGACAGGAGGGAGGGGGCCGACCTGATCTCACAAGGAAGGGAGTTCCATAGCCGGGGAGCAATCACCGAGAAGGCCCTGTCCCTCGTCCCCAGCAATCGTGCCTGTGACAATGGCGGGACGGAAAGCAGGGCCTCCCCGGAGGATCTTAATCTCCGCGATGGTACATAGAGGGAGATGCATTTGGACAGGTAATTTGGGCCAGGGCCGTTTAGGGCTTTATAGGCCAAAGCCAGCACTTTGAATTGTGCCCGGTAGCAAACTGGCAGCCAGTGGAGCTGGCGTAACATGGGAGTTGTATTCTCCCTGTATGCCGCCCCAGTTATTAACCTGGCTGCCTCTCATTGGACTGTTTGAAGCTTCCGAGCAGTCTTCAAAGGCAACCCCACATAGAGTGCGTTGCAGTAGTCTATTCTAGATGTAACGAGAGCGTGGACCACCATGGCCAAGTGTGACTTCCCAAGGTACGGGCGCAGCTGGCGCACAAGTTTTAATTGTGCGAAAACTCCCCTGGCCACCACTGCAACCTGGGATTCCAGGCACAGTGATGAATCCAGGAGAACTCCCAAGCTGCGAACCTATGCCTTCAAGGGGAGTCCGGTGAATGAAAATACATCCTGCATATCAGATATTTACATTACAATTCATAACAATAGCAAAATTACAATTATGAAGTAGCAACAAATATAATTTTATGGTGGGGGGTGGGGGTCACCACAACATGAGGAACTGTATTAAGGGGTCGCAACATTAAGAAACACTGGTCTACTTTAAGTGTCAGTGCGTATCTATCCAACATATCTATATCCAACACTTCAGGCTAAATAGGTCTTCCCCATCACCAGCTCTTTTTAAGTATACCATACCATACTGACACCTTCTGACATTCAAATATAGACATTCGACTAATAGATGATCCGTCATTCTGTTATTTTCCATTCGCCGAGGCCAGATTCCTTTAAAGTTTGGGAAGGGTCAATGGCATTAGACAATACTTAGCTAACCTTTGGTTTTGACTAAAAAAACAACAACATCAGGGTGATCTGTCGAATGTTGTGTCCCAGAGAGATAGGGACCACAAACGAGTGACTCAGACCAGGAATACCTGCCAGGTGAGTTGGGGATGTTGAGCAAGCCAATTGTCTTTGCCCTCATGCTCTTGCAAAAGAAAGGAGGCAAACATCATCACAAAGAACTGAGTCACCATCAACAAATCCAGGGTTTGGGGAATGTTCATTCCAAAAGCTTTGCGTGGCTGGGAATGGCAAGGAATGGCAAGGAATGGAAAGGAACAGCCATTCAAGGCCAGATGAATTGGGTACTTCACCCCTTTCAATGGATGCATCTACCCTGAGCCATGGCAGCTCCCAATGGCTATTAAAGTAGGATCAAACCACTGCAAAGTGTGTTATTTAGTTGCATGTTCCATTAATGCAGACCCCAATTCCCCATGGCCAGCTTCACACCATTTGCTTTTCGTCTGGTCAGTCCTCCTCCTTGCAGAAGCCGGCAAGAAGCAGCACAGGCCTCAGGCAGGACAAAGCCTTTATAGTCTTGCGCTGTGGCATTCTCCAGGTCTGCCGCTGGACATTCTTGATGCATTAGTTCATTGTTGTCTGCAAAGGACGCTGCTGCTGCTGCAAGGAAGGCGTGTGTGTGTGTGTGCGCGCAGCATGAGGATGGTGTCTGATTATATAATTGGGAGCAGGAGTGAGCAAATTTCTTGCTCTCTACAGTCCAGATACAGTAGACTTTCCGTTAACTGGAACTCTCAAACAACTGGCAAAAAATATCAAAGAAGTAATGCTTTAAATAAAAATTAAAATGTGTGTATAATATAATAAAATTGTGTTACAGTAAGTTTACTTTGTCTTAATTTGCTTTTAATTATTGTATTTTGACATTAATGTCAAGTCAATAATACAGTGTTTATTGTGTAATATAGTATGCAATGTAGTATTAATTAGGCCTATTTTAAAAAGCAGATCTCAAACCACCAGAAACTACGTTTATCCAGCATGGGAGTGTGATGGAGTCTCCTCCTTTGGAGGTTTTTAAACAGAGGGTGGATGGCCATCTGTTAGGAGGGCTTGAATTGTGCCTTCCTGCATGATGCGAGATTGGATTGTATGGCTCTCAAGATCTCTTCTAATGGAGACTCTGCCATGCTTTTGGCTCCAGAGCCTCACCAAACTACAACCGTAGGAGTCCATAGAGATGTTGATGTGGAATGATGACCCTGTGTCATTGGTGCATACATACCCTATAGTTATATGGTTTGAATGAGGCCTCTTGTGTGCATATGTGTGAGGAATTAGCAACCCTTTGAACTGTTTGGTCTTCTTCTCTCTTTCAGCCGCTAAAAGGACGCCCCCAGAAGTGACACAGCTCTCCTCGAGTGAACAGAATAGCCACTTACGTGCCACGTCGCCCCTTGCGAGGGAGGCAGATCCACACCAGAGGGACCGCTCTCCCTCAGCGCCATCTCCAGCAGCCACGGTTCAGTCCGCTGCCACCACTCCTTCGAGCGCAGCATTGCCCACCCAAAATGGCCACCCCAGGGTCAAGACCACTGTAGTGTCCCCTGCCGAAGTGAAACCTCCCCTTCCAGCTCACCAGGAGAGCCTCCCACTCGTCACAACTCTTCCAGCCATGGAGACTCTGCCGCCTAAAAGTGACCGCCCGCCACCTATCGGTGCCCCAACGCCGCCTCCTGCGGAAGAACCGCATCTTCAAGAAAGCCCACGACCATCCCCGAAGAATAATGATCAGCCTTCCCCAACCCAGGGGTCTGCTAGCCCCCGGAGCAAGCAAGGTATGGATTGGGATTCTGTTTGCGACTTACTTACACAAGCATAACTTTTGGCATAAAAGAAACCACGTGTAGTTCATGTTTGATCAGTTCATACACTGCCTTGCCAGAGAAGGAAAATATGCCATGCAGGTGAACAGTAAAAAAAACAAGTTGTTTACTTTTCTTAATTCAGAACAACATATGTACAGTATGATCATACTCACATAATGTCCTTTTACGAGAGGTTTAAATGCATCAGCTCACATAATGTTCTTTTATGAGAGGTTTAAAATAGTCTTTCTTTTGTCCATGTGGATAAACTCCTTCAGCAGCTCAAGAAGCAAGAGTACATGCCAAACTCTGTCCCTCTCTGCTTCTCACTTCAACCTGTCTCTCTCTGCACTTGCATAGCTCAAGCCTGAACAAAAATATAACAGTATCTAAAAGTCCCAGGCTCATCCATCTCACCGTGCATTGCTTGACCAATCAGCTTCATGCACCTTATTTTACATTTGACACACACACACACATTAACTGATTACTTGCATGCTCCAGCATAACTTACCCGGCAGCAGTAGCTGGCTAGTGCGGAATGTTGAAGGTTGCAATAATAGATTGGTACATACAATGCCGTTGCTCATAGTGTCTTACACATGTTTAACTTGCCTGGCAGAAATGGCTATGCAATGCAAAATATCAAAGGTTGCAATAGCAGAATGGCATATACAGTGCCATTGCCAATTGAGATGTTCATGCACATCTGGTGCACAGCACATCTTGCACATTACATCGTAGACATGCATAACTTGCCCAACAGAAGTGGCAAGCTAATACAGTGCCATTGCGCTTGGATGCACATTAGGTTGCACATCAGATGCACATTAGGTTGTGTACTTTGCTGCGTATCCATTACATGACGTTGTCATTCAACACAAGGATTTCATTGCCCAATCGTTGCATAACTCCATATGCAAAGAGCTATGTTGTACAAAACCCAATGTGAGATGTCAGCCCGGGCTGCAGAGTCCATACACCAATTTCTTTGGCTCTGAGTCCTCTGCTTTTCTACCATCCAACCCGACTAGTACACGTAATAATACAACTCCTCTTGAGTGATTTATTTATTTATTTGTCGTGTCGTGACTGGTTGCCCTCTTGAGTGATTAATTGATTTAAATGAATAAAAAATTAACTAAATTGTTAATAAATAGAGCATTCCATAAATTAGTCAAGGCTGGCTTAGCTTAAAACCCCAAAGGCACCAGATCCCATCTGATCTTGGAAGCTAAACAGAACTAAACCTAGTTGGTGTTTGGACGGGAGATGTCTGGTGGGTATTAGGTGCTATTGTTGGACGAGTGGCTTATTAAGAAAAGACCCTCCCCATAAATGTACAGCAGAGTAACTTATTAGCAGCAGTTTGATCCAGCACCAGTAGCCAAAAGTGATAAAAAGAACAAAAACACACAGACCAATGTTATCTCTTCCATGGGAGGCTTTCCTTTATAGCAAAATAATGTGGTTGGACCATTTACAAAAACAAGGTTTCCATAACACAAATAAAGTTCTTTATACTTCCTTCTTTGCTTCCACTTGGGCTTCTTTCTCATTCAGATAAACAGCTTCACTCTCACAGAGCCTCTTCTCACACTGTAGTTACACGAGAGCTTCACACAGTCACTGTTTACATAGCAGTCTCCACACATAGAATCATAGAATCAAAGAGTTGGAAGAGACCTCATGGGCCATCCAGTCCAACCCCCTGCCAAGAAGCAGGAATATTGCATTCAGATCACCCCTGACAGCCTTCAACCTGGGAATTCTCTCACAAAAGGTTCCCACACACCAGGCCTACTTCACACTGAGGCCTACCTCACACTGAGGACTTTTTCCCACTGAGGCCTTCTCACACTGAGACCTCTCACAGACTGAAGACTACTAAGCTACAGGCACAACTGCTTGTATTGAACTGCAGCTTTTGCGGAGTCATTGCATCCATTTAACCCTTTCAGTGCTTGACTCACATTTTTCTAATTAAAAATGCCTAGTTAATTTTTAATATTTCTGACAACTATAGGCTATATTTTAGAGGAAGGCAATGGCAAAGCCTCCTCTGAATATTCCTTCCCTAAGAAAACTCAGTCCTGACCATTGCTGGCTCTTCAGCTTAGAAACGGAGATGAGCACCACCCCCCAGAGTCGGATTTGACTAGACTTTATATCAAGGGGAAAGCTTTACCTTTAAGAAAACTAGGAAAGTTATGGCTCCACCATAAGACCGATACACATGTGCATGTTGTTATTTGCTTTCATTCCAATTTGGACTTATATGGCAATACTATTGTACACCTTTTTTTGACAAAATATGTTCAGATAAGGTTTGCTAACATCTTCCTCTGAATATAGTCAACAGCACCTAGTAATCTTTGATGGTCCGCCCTTCTAAGTACTAACTAGACGTGACCCTGCTTAGCTTCTGAAATCAGACACTTGATCCACAGACTCAATATCTAGAGTTTTATTTACCCACAGCCCCAAAATATTTCTCATGGAAGTGTTTGTAGGCCTCTCTAGATCCTCTTGTGCCATTCTATAGTTTGTTTCTAGGCCAAGTACAGTTGAAATACAGAGTATAAATATGTTATCCATGGTTTCGGGTAACCGTGGAGTGTCTTGGATCCAGAGATACTGGAGTTGTACTGTCCTTTTACAGTTATGACAGATCATAGAATTAACTCAATTTGCTGTAACCCCTTTCCTAAGCCATTTCCTTGATGTCGGACTGAGTCCCCTTCCCCAAGGCAATTCAGTAACCAGGGAAGATGGGGGCAATGGGTCAATAGCCAGATGTGTTCCTGCATCAAGCTGCAGGAAGGAAGGAACAAGGGTCCCCTTAAGCCTCCCAGGGGTCTTTGGGGATGATGTGGTCTTCCTGAATCCAGTAGCAGGAAAAACACCAGCTGCTGGATTGTCTTCCCTATTTTACCCCATTATTTACAGCAACTGAGGGTCTTGCCTGATAACATTTAGAATGAATGCTCAGAGAGACATGTCCCTATATCTGGTGGAGCATTATGGTCCTCCGTTGCATCTCAGCATTTTGGTAATAGGAGCCTTCATAGTAATTTGTTAATATACCTTAGTAATAAAAGTAATAGCAGCATGTGTAATAGTAAGCATTACAATAATGTGGAAGATGTACAATCATCCCAATACTGTTGTGGGTTTCATTATTTTCATATAGAAAAAAAGTTATTTTTAGACATAGGTCCACCAGTGTGATTCTGTGGTCAGCTTCCACCAGAGTTTGACCATAGAATTGCTCTGGAGGAGCTAGAAATGCTAAAGAGAAACAAGTACTACCCTTATAGATCATAGATCATAGAATCATAAAGTTGGAAGAGACCTCATGGGCCATCCAGTCCAACCCCCTGCCAAGAAGCAGGAATATTGCATTCAAAGCACCCCTGACAGATGGCCATCCAGCCTCTGTTTAAAAGCTTCCAAAGAAGGTGCCTCCATCACATTCCAGGGCAGAGAGTTCCACTGCTGAATGATCAGGAAGTTCTTCCTCATGTTCAGATGGAATCTCCTTCTTGTAGTTTGAAGCCATTGTTCCCGTGTCTTAGTCTCCAGGGAAGCAGAAAACAAGCTTGCTCCCTCCTCCCTGTGGCTTCCTCTCACATATTTATACATGGCTATCATATCTCCTCTCAGCCTTCTCTTCTTCAGGCTAAACATGCCCAGCTCCTTAAGCCGCTCCTCATAGGGCTTGTTCTCCAGACCCTTGAACATTTTAGTCACCCTCCTCTGGACACATTCCAGCTTGTCAATATCTCTCTTCAATTGTGGTGCCCAGAATTGGACACAATATTCCAGGTGTGGTCTAACCAAGGCAGAATAGAGTGGTAGCATGACTTCCCTAGATCTAGACACAATGTTCCTATTGATGTAGGCTAAAATTATATCCATTTGGGGGGGGGGGGGGCATTCCTGGACTTTATATGGATAGAACTGTGTATAATAGTGAATCTTATTGAAATGGAGACTGTTTGACCCATGAATCCCATAGGGCAGGGGTCCACAAACTTTTTAAACAGGGGGCCAGGTCACAGTCCCTCAAACTGTTGGGGGGCCGGATTATAATTTGAAAAAAAATGAATGAATTCCTATGCACAGTGCACGTATTTGTAGTGCAAAAAACACTATAGAACAATACAATAATTAAAATGAAGAACAATTTTAACAAATATAAACTTATTCGTATTTCATTGGGAAGTGTGGGCCTGCTTTTGGATGATGAGATAGGATTGTTGTTGTTGTTGTGTGCTTTCAAGTCGTTTTAGACTTGACCCTGAGCGAGGGCCAGGTAAATGACCTTGGAGGGCCGTATTCGGCCCCTGGACCATAGTTTGAGGACCCCTGCCATAGGGTGACATTGGAGGACCTAAAAATTGCCTAGAAAGGGCATATAAAGTAAATGAAATTGCAGGTACTGCAGGACATACTTTGTAAATGAAACTGCAAGTACCAGTTCTGTGGATATGGGGGGTCATATTTATTTATTTCGTATAAAAAGCATTGCATAAATAAGTATAAAACTGATAAAAAATAGAAGGATCACAAGTGGCTAAATGTTTTTTGACCAATAACGGTCAACAGCGACCGAATTATCTGTAGCTTTGAACTGTTCTTCCTCTGTACATGAGGCAGGACATTGTGGACAAGCATACAGATGCAGAGTTGTCTGTTCTGGTCCACAGTCGCACAAGGCGGAGGATTCTTTTAGGTAGTGTCATTTGGCCAGGTTGTCTTTTGATCTGCCCACTCTGTTCAAGGACTTTCAAGCTGCCCATTCTTGGTTTGCCCCTGGAGGCACACCCTTGTTGGGGGCCATCCAATTGGAATTTCCTGGTTTAGCTGCCCAGAGGGATACTCTTGGGGAAACATTAAGATGCATGGTGACTCTCATGAAACTTTTTCTTGATTTGTGTCTACTGGGAGGAGGCTGATAGCCATGT